GCTGTGTTTTCTCTTTAATTATGGCATAAAAGTGCAGTGTTAAAGAAGAAAATTCAAATGCAAATAGGATGATTGATTACTAATTTCATTTATGAGTCAAACAATGCAGCCACATTCTTAAAATGAAAAAGCATTTCTGGAAATGCTTTCTCATTTTCAAATTTTACATTTCAAATTGAATTTTGGTATAAATTTGCTAGGGTAAATTTTGAAAAATAAATCTCAAATGTCTTTTTCTTTTTAATTTTAATTAAGTAAAGGGATGAGCAGTGTTGAAGAAGAAGATGAAAATGCAAACAGGATTATTGATTACTAATTTCATTTATGAGATGGTAACGATTTGCTTCCATACTAAATGCTGCTTCTCCATGTTTAGTTCTGGTTCTAGGTATGCAGAGCAGGCTGGAGCCAGAAGACCTGAGTGGTCTGGAGGGTTGATACACTGATAGCAAGTCTGTGATGTATTTAGGTGCTAAGCCATTCAGAGATTTCATAGACGTGCATCCCCGTAAACACTGGGAAGGAACTCAATGGTAAAGTAAATGATTTTTATTTCTTTTTTCAACTGTTGTGTATATTAGCTGCGACATATGAATCAAGATGCAAGATGCGAAAAAATTTGATTAATAGATGACCATTGATATATGATTGGCCGAATTTAGGTGTACAAGCTGACGTATAACTAACTGGCCTGCATAAAATAACAAAAAAAGTTAACAAAATAACAAAGTTAACAAAAATAAATATGATTTCCCTACGACTTTAAGGGGCTGAATAATTTGCACACCCATTTTTTTTTTGTTTTTTATTCATTTAAAAAAGTTTAAATATCCAATAAATTTAATTCCCCTTCATGATTGTGTCCCACTTGTCTATTCTTCACTAAATATTTTATTTCATATTTTATGTGTGAAGCCTGGAATGTGGCAGAAGGTCAAAAGTTCACGGGGGCTGAATACTTTCGCAAGGCACTGTATGACTTAATCAACTTTAACACACTGTGCTCCAGAGATAAGATGTGACATGCACAGCAGACTTTGTCAAACAGATTTCATGACTGCAGAAAACTGTTAGACTGAAAGGAAAAAAATGTATTTGATGTACTTTCCGTACACTTACTGTTTCATTCAAAATTAGATCGATCTGGATATTTTTTAAAGTTACTGTTTGTAGATGTTATGCGTAGCTTTTATAGATGAAATAGATCTGTGCAAATGAGGGGGAAAATTTAGCTTTTACTATAACAACTGACTGGTTTATTACAACTAAAATGTGTTAATTGGAAAGATGGGGGCATGGATGAAATTTTGATTAAATATATGGATGCATGACATGAACAATTGGACAAATTGTGATGCAACAATCCGCGTGGATTAAAAACACATAGTTTTAAAATGATTATGAGCTTGGATACATATAAATGACATTTGTAGATTGTTTTTTTCTTTTTTGATGATATTAATAATATATAACAATAATACAGTTGATTTTTCATCACTTTTAATAAAACAAATTTACTTTACTAGCCAATTAAGGTGAATTAGGTTACACAGTTACACAGTTCTTCAAATGTAACTCACACTTTGACTTTTAAAGAAGTCTCTTATGTCTCTCTTTCTTTTTTCCGACACCCTAATAACCATACAGGCAAACACATGCACGCACATGAATGCACATACAATTCAAAGATTTTCGTAAATGAATAAACGTGATATTACAACCCTTCTAGATTACGTGACTCAATGAGAAGGAAAAAAATCCATAATTATAGTAGCAGACTCCCTCAGCTACTGTCGTCTTTTGGAGACCCATGTTGTTTACAAGTCTGTAACTCCTGGACCATTTAAGTTATCTCTAAAATCAAACCAAAATATACCAGAAAGCAGAGATAAAAGCTTGCGGCCCTACAGTTCTAATTACGGTAGCTTGTAAGATTTCAGCAGCGCTGTGACCATCCATCATAGACGCAATTCAATAGTGCATCAGATGCTTGTAAAGTGAGCTTCTCAGGAGACAGACGATCACACAAGGAAGGACAGAGGGCCAATCAGGAGCTTGCGGGTGGGCTAAACTCAGGGAAGTGGGCTTCAGCTCGAGCTACGGTTTCCCACTTTGTCCTAGTGCTGGACGATGGTCTGTGTACCGTAGCGTAAAATTGTTTTTGGACAGTAAAAAGTGCAGGGGACCAAAACAGACTTTTGAAAAAGTGGAGGAGACATGTCACCAGACCTGCCCAGAGCGTTCATGATGCAGCAACCCCAGTGAGCAGGCAGGGGCCCAATCTAGGTCACAAAAACAGTTCAGACAGGACAGTTCTGGGATCCAGGACTCCGTAGCCCGACCAGGGATTCTGATCCGAACAGGAACAGACAGATTCATGGTTCCAGGAATCCACAGAACATTCAGGCAGGTTCAGAGTTCCATCAGTCCAAATGCAAGCTCAGGCAAACACAATCCGATGGAGACAGGCTCAGTGGTTCAGGGACAGAGACAAGACATGGTACCAGGAAATTTGCAGAACTTTCAACCGGTCTCCACCTCGGAGCCTGGATTACGGGGATTAAAATGGACCTCCCCCTGAGCCAAAACCGTGAGGGCTCCACGGAGAAGGGCCAGAACCCGAGGTCCCCCCGCACTCTAGCCAAAACCCTAAGGGCTCAGCGGAAAAGAGCGGGAAGGGATCAGAAGATAGGAGACAAACAGAAAATCCTCTCAATCCACTGGCCTCCTAGGATGGAAACATGAATCAGGGACTTAACTAAAACTCAAAAACAAACATGAACAACTGACATGAAAACATAACACAAAAAAACTAAGAATAATGATCTGGCCCGAATGGCTGGGCTGACATGAGGGGAGCGCGATGTAAAGCAAAACTGTAAAAGTAAGTCAAAAAAGAAATAAGCTGATAAAGCAGCATATGTCTTGCATTGGTCTTCATCCTGGTTGTACCACAGAGATCTAGTCACATTTTCAAACCCTCTTGGTTCTGCTTCCTTGTCTGCTGTTTGCTCACCCTGAGCTTTCTCGTTAATATTCAGTTTTTCTATATTTAGCCGAGAGCATCTTCAGTTGTCTTGCAGCTTGGCCTTTTGTAATTGCCACGGTCTGTACACCATACATCGCATAAGGTCTTAGTAGCATCTTGTAAACCTTTCTGTTTCCTCTTGTAGCGTTCCAGTCTCAAATTACTCCTGACACTCCCCTCCTTCATCCTCCCTGAACTATCGTCTTCACCTCCCTTGTGCGATGCCTGTTGCTTTGCTTGATTGACTTCATGCACTTAAACCCATCCATCTAAAGTGACTCTCCTTGTAGCTACATGCTTTCATCTGTCTGCTTCTCATTCACACGTCTTCTGTCTTACCTATACTGACTTTCATTCCTCTACTCTAAAGATCATACCTTTACCTCACCAGACTCTTCCACCAGAATCCTTTAATACTGCAAATAACAATGCCGTCTGCAAACAAAATATCTATGTAGACCTTTTCCAAAGCCTCCTTCACTCTAACCACACACTTCACAACTTTCTCATTGTCCTTGTACAGGTCGAGCGTCACCTTCACTTCTTTCTCTGCATATTATCCAACCTTTGCATCTACAACTCCTTCTGACATCACTTCCAAGGCAAAAATCATAAATAGAGGGTGACTTCTTCTCAGCATGAAACCATTCTGTTCACTTATCTTCAAATCTTAACTTCCTTCAACAACTCTCTCCCACATTATCATTTGAATCTCATCAACCATGCCCTGACCATTTTAAAAATCTGATCTGAAAATGGTTATTAGTTATCTAACAGGTGGAGATTTAAAAAACTTAGGACATTATTGAAAAGAGAGAATTGTGAATCCTCTCACTAACATACATATTAAAATGAATCACATAGAGTGAATACACAACTCTGGCATGTGGAGTGTGATCTCCGATTTAATGGCATTCATGGTATCTACTAATTAGTCGCTCATTAGCCATTAATCACAAAAAGGTCATTTTGAAAGGTTTTTAGAGAGAAAGGTTAATCACAGATTAGATCCTACTTTCAAAGATGTTTTTATATATATTTTATATATAACTGTTTTGTCAGTTTATGTTTAATACTGACACAAGTGAGGCTGCCTGTTGACAGCAAAAATAAATCTGAATGAAAAAGAAAACTGAAAAACCATCTGTGCGATCTTATTACTGCCACCTGTTGGACTGAAGGTGTAGTGCAGTTTCTCTTAGGCTAAACCTGCTGGGGCTTTCAGAGTACTGGGAAAGCACACTGGTGAATTCCTCCTGTTACCCAACTAATGCAAATGTAGGGGATTTATATGGCAGGGCTTTTCTTGTCTGAAAATACAGTCGTGAAGTAAACCCTGAGGAAACTGAATGAATAACTCAGGTGGAGTTGCTGCGATCCTCAGATTGTCTTTAGTCTCACTTTGAGAGCCGCAATTATTCTGAAATCCCTGTTGGAACATACTCACTAGCCACTTTATTAGGCAGACATGTTCCATCATTGACCGACAGATACAATCTATAAGACAATCAATATTAGTATGCTTTAGGCCCCTATAAACACGGCCAAGATTCCCCACGGAAGTAAGAATCAGAAAGAGATGACTTTGAAAGAAGCATGGTGATGGACATGCTAGTCTGAGCACTTCAGAAAGAGCTGACGCTGTTGTGATGGTGGTGTGATGGTATAGGGACTATTTTCTTAGCACATTTTTAACTCATTAGTTCAGTCTATGCTTCCAAAATAAAACCCAATAAAAGAAGTCCACAGTTCAGGCAGGCAGTGTGGGAGGGCATCCTTAGGAGGACCAGAGTTCTGCCTGTCAATGGAGGCAATGCAGGAGCCAACAGAGAACCACATCACCAGCTAAGGAAGAAGCCTTAAGATCATAAAGGAGCTCATTTGAAGCCTGGAGACCACAGGTCCTACTGTCTTGGTTTGTGGAGGTGAAGGGTTGAAGTAATAACCATGCATTGGGGGGTTGATGTTGGTAGAAGAATATTTAATGAAAAGGAGGAAGTTGGACCATGAAGAAACCAGGGAGACAGAGAGAGGACGAACCAGACAAAGGGCAAACAGAATGCACAAACTAAAATAAAACACAAAGTAACAGAAAACAGGGGAGGAAAATCAACTGAACTCTGAACAGGTGAGACCTTTGATTAGAAAGATCCCGGTTGTGGGATTGTAATGCATTCATCCTAATTTGGAAATCCCTGAGCAATCTCTCTAAGTACTTTAGGAACAAAACATCTGAAACAAGGGACCAGCAGAGGATAGTGAGGGGAACTGCAGAAGATCATTTGGATCCAGGATCTATTTTGCTCTTTGTTGACGATCTCAGATAAACTCTATTAATCTGCTTGATACTATTAATCAGATTATAAAATGGAAGCAAACAGATTCCAATGGGAATTCATATCTTTAACAGTTAAGCAGGGAGAGCCTGTGTTTACATCCCCTTCTGTTTCTGAAGGATTAATATTAGTTGACAGCCTCGACCTGTGATGCCACATTTTTTTCTTGGTGGTGATGAGAGACTTTAATCGTTATCCTTAGCATGTAAGAGCTCCAGTCTGCAAACAAAATCCCATTGGAACCAAAGCAAACCCTGCATGTTCTGTTCATGCAGAATAAAGATAAGGGGATTGAATAAAGTGTATTAGTCTTATAAAATTCTGAGCCCTTAGATTTCTGCTAATTTTCTCTCTCATCACTTCATATGAATTTTTCTCCTGATCATATATCCTGCCTCCTTTCCCACTTTGTCTACCTGTTAGAAACCAGTTGGTTGGTGCTGGTTTGGGTCACGGACAGGTTCGGCCCATCTGTGCGTGTTTGCTCTGCCACAACGCGTCCGTCTGTCAGTCCCCAAAGCGCAAATGTTTGTAGAGACCATATCCTGGCTCTAATTGGAGGTCTCTTTTCTTTCTCCCTCTATGCAGCAGTTTGCAAAATGACACGAAACCAACACCGGAGTGACGAACTGATGCAAATGAGTCTGCAATGTAGGAACATATTGGACCTATCCAGGCCAAGCGGATCTGTGCCATGCATCTGATCTGACCTTGCAGACGTCTGCAAACCAAACGCGACCCTTTGATCAGAAAGAAAAACAGGTCGATTTACCTTGATGTCCCGCGCTACTGTTCAGGAGATGGAGGATGAATATGGAAAATTCAGCCTAGTGTCGGTGACACCAAGCCACGCCTTCCAGCAGAATATGAGGCTCAGGGGTATCGATCGTCCGCGGCCGAACGGCACCGAAGCCGAACCTGGAGCAACTGACCGTGCGCAATGAGTCACCGCTGCCTCCAGCTCTTTGTTCCAGACTGAGGAGCTGCTCTGCGGCATCCCGGCCAGGCTGCACGACCAGAGGATGAGGATGGTGGCAGCATCCTGCCTGCGAGCGCCTCAGGCGATCACACGAGGGTCACTATATGTCGCCTCCTGAGGAAGACCACGCTTCTCCAGAGAGGAGGAAGGATGCTCAGCTCCTGGACAGATGGCTATGTGTGAATAAACAGCAAAATAATATTCAATTCAATTCTGTTTATTTAAATAGTGCCAATTCACAACACATGTCATCTCAAGGCACTTTACAGTTCACCAGATCATACAGTCAGATTCATTCAAAGTTTTCTATCTAAGGAAAACCAGTTGATTGCATCGCCTTATTGATTCCCTCACATTAAGCATGCATGTAGCGACAGTGGAGAGGAAAAACTCCCTTTTAACAGGAAGAAACCTCCAGCAGAACCAGGCTTAGTGTGAGCTGAGGCCGACTGGGGTTCAAGGAGACAGAAGCAGAGATACAAAAAGCAACTGTAAAAGGCGACCCAGTCCAGGAAACACACAACCAGGAAGACGAGCTCTGAGCCAGCTCCCATGTCAGAAAATGAAGAGAGCACATCCAGCCAGTCACAGTCAGAGAAACAGGACAATGGAAAAATATGGGAGCTTTAGAGAATTTTTCAGAACTGCTTTAAATGACATAATTTTGTCATGTTTCAATTTCTTTACAAAATTTCATAATAAAGAAAACGTCCACCATTGATTGTCGTTTATATCAGGTAGAAATCCAGATGTTCTCCAGAATTGTTACACATAAAGGAAGAGTCTGATTTCCTGTCATTTTTAGCCTAAAAAACAAATATCATGTGTCTGAGAGAAAGTAATGTGAAAATGCTGATTTATTAAAGGAAAGTTAAGTGGAAGAAAAATGTTCTACAGAAAGGAAAAGGTTGAGCAAAATCAATCCAGCCTGCACTTCAGAATCGACAGTCAAGCCAACCCTCACGCCGTTTTTTTAGGTCGCACAAACACTGGGAATGGCGGTAGTAACAACTGAGATTGTTTCAAAATAAGAGCAGTAATTCTTAGGTATCTACATCTTTTGTTCTTTTTTGTTTTACATATTTGATTTAATTAACTAATTATTCATTATTTTTAATTAATTAATTTCTAATAATTTATTCAGCTTTGTGCTTTCTGCAGCTTTTTTCTTGTGTTCTGACTATATAGCTACATTTTATTCACTCTTATTGGACTCATTAATTGCTTTTAGCAATGCTTTTTTTCATGACAACTTTTGCTTAGAGGTGAGAGATGAGGCTCTCCAGTTGAATCATCTAAGCCCAATTAAATCACTGGGAATTTCAAACTTAGAGCCCCGTCATACCTTACAGTTTTTGTCTGTTTATACTAAGTTGCTGTTGGTCTTGTTGCTCAACTGTTTGTAGATTAATTTGGATGAGATGAAATTGATCTCAGATAACAAAGTAAAAACCTTGGTTTCCTTTTTCATCAGGTCGTGTTATTTAAATCCCACCCTTTCATCTCTGGAATACTGAAAAAAATGTGTTGGTTCAATCTCTAACATTATGCTCTCATCATAGTAGCTTCATCTGGTCTGTTCGGCTGCAACTCCATCTTAGAGAGAAAAATCAGCTGTGCTGCTGCCATCAACCCGTTTGTTTATAGATGTAATTATTTATAATCACGGCCCTTATAAGGTACAAGAAGGTCAGAAGGTGTTCATTCATAGAAATGACATTGAAGACAAAGATGAAAAACTACTGGTTTGGAGATTGAGGTTCTGCTGACTGAACTGAGCAGCAGAATTAAACGACAATTAAAAGCGAAGGAGTGGAAAATAAATTACATCTATAAATACTATAACATGGTTGCACTATTACAGAAGTTAGAAAAAAAAACATTCACAGCAGCTGTAGTGAGTTTCCAACCTTAGGCTACATCAATTCAGAGTTGAGGATTTTAGTCTTACTTTGTTAAACCTGATCTTTGAAACTGACCCCAGGTCAGCTCTGGGGAGAATATTACCATGGTAACTGATGCAGAGGTTGAGGAAACTATTTGTGAAATGGAAAACCGTGAGATGGGACTATATAGTGGACTTTATAGTGAACTCTATCTGGCGGTTCGGACAGATGATCACTACTTTTTCCTCCACAATCAGTTTGGACATTCATCTAAAATGACGTAAACACTATATAGTGCCCTATATAGTGATTAGGACAGACATTCTGAGTTTGTTAACTTGGTGCTATATAAACTGATTGCTATTGCAACTCAACGGTAATTTAATGTACCGGTAGATGTTTTTAGATGATGAATCTATTTGTCTAGTATTGATCAGGGCAGCTGGTTTAACTCTCTCTGTGAGATTGTTTTGGACTGCGTTGCTCCAGTGAAAACTTTGAATCCCAAGGTTAAAACTGAGCCATGGTTTAACGAGGAAACTCATGCAGTTAGGTGGGAATGCTGCCCAGATAAGCAGAGGTGGAAGAAGGACAAGTTGCAGATTTCCTTTCATATCCTTAAGGACTGCTGGCATCCGTTTAAAAGCACAGTTAAAGCAAAAAGAAAATACTTGGCTGATCTCATTAAATTGTCATAACCCAGGCGTTTTGTTAAAAAAAAAAAAAACGACGCTGTTCTTAATGCCCCTCAGCTTGGAGGCATCTTCTCAGACTTGCAGTAGGATCCTGCTCTTTTTTAATGATATGGTTGCTCTGCTCCTGCATCAGCCTCAGAAACTTGGACCCAATGATCAGACAGCTCAGGATGGTTTACAACAAGCTTTATTTTAGAACCAATAACTCAGCGAGCAGCTGATCATCAGCGGGCTGGATAACTGCAGAGGTAGAAAACACAGGTCAGTGACTGGGATATCGGGCTATAATGACAAGGAGCAAAGTCACTGACCTGGTTTAAAGTCCAGTCCGATCACAGATGAAAAGGAGATAGTTAGCAGCTGTAGCCACTTCCAGCGCCCCGAATGATGAGCTGATGTTAGCTATTGCCGAGGTAGCAAAAGTGTCCTTAAGGAGAATTCAAGCCGAGGTCAGAGAAACAGTCCAGGTTCGGCAACCAGCAGGATCCAGGAGAACAGTGCAAAAAACACAGCAAACAGAGCAGACAGGGGCAAGGCAAAAAAACAAACAAACTCCAAAATGGGTCAGAAGCAAGATAACAATCAGACCAACTTGAAGGCTAGAGTTACTTTCACAGCAGCTCGAATAATCTGGCACTGGTGGTTGAAAACAAACAGCATATATAGGAGCTGGAAACAGGTGGATAAGATAAGTGGTAATGAGAAACAGGGCAGAGTTAAACAGGTGAATGGAATAAGCCAGCCTCCAGCGCCAGGATAATGACAGACCCATTTACTTATATATTATAAACATTATAAACAGTAGTCTTTCCTCTGGAGTTGTGCCATTGACTTTTAAACATGCTTTGGTCCGGGCCCTATTTAAAACACCCGGTCTTTATGGCGGTGTGCTGGCCAACTTCAGACCTAAGCTGCCTTTTATTTGTAAACTCTTAGAAAAAAATGTTTACTGTCAACTCAACTCGTTATTAGATGGACATGCTGTCCTGGAGGGGTTTCAGTCTGCTTTTAAATCTATAATTAGTCTTTGGCTTTTAATAGCACTTTGTGGCATCCATGGGCAGTTTTAAAGGGCTTTATAAATAAAGTGGAGTTGAGTTGAGTTGAAAACATGACCACTAATTCTAACTACTTTGAAGAAAGACAAAAAAATGTGACTTATTGGAGGTACATTGATGCTGATGAGTGCCATTTATTCAATAAAAGATTACATGTATGTGTTTTCTTTTACATTCATGATGCTTTAAAAATTCCTGTTAAAGACTGGGGCTTAGGACCCCGCATTGTTGTCTGGACATCATATCAATCAGAGGATAGAAACTGAGCGCTCACTTTGGGGATGGAGCTTTCTCAGACAGGAGCTCCGTTTCTAATGCAGTAATTGTACAGATAAAACTCCAGCCCCTGAAAGTCCAGAGGGACTGATTAGGGTAGAGACTGTGACTTAATTAAAGTCAAGTGCACCACTGGTGACAATCTGAGGATCAGCTGCATCAATCATCAATCATGAGGTGAAGTCTGTTGGTGGTTTTCTGTTGTTTTAAACTGTGGCGTTTCCTGGGAGTGTCTTTAATTTTGGTTAAAGGCTTAAAAGGCTAAACAGCCTGTAAAATGTGCAGCTTATTGAAAGGAAGGGTTTTAAAGGGACAGTGGGGAGCACATCATTGGGTGACTTTTCCTGTTAAGGTATTTATTTCTACCCTCTAAATCAGTTTTCCCTGCTCTACTCCCTTCTCTTTCGGCTTTATTCCCTGCTTCACTTTTTAGCGTTGCTCTCTCTCTGTCTTCTCTCTCCATAGTGGCTCCATCTGGCCTGATTTCTGTCGAGACATGACTCGGTCATCAGCAGCTGGTGCTTCATATTTAGTTTATTGTGTAGATCGCCATTAGCCAATTTTTAAAGCTGTCGGGGTCCTTATTAAAAAAACATAGTAAAATATTTTTCATAAAACAGATAACAAGCATGTGTACAGTACAACGACACTGCAACAGAAATAAGAAACAGTTTATACACATCAGTCCACAACTTGCATGTCATTCAACGACACCTTTAGGTAGGCTCTAGTTGGATTCAATTTTGTATATCTCAAAGAAAGGCAGACAAGATGTCATGATCTTGGTGCTGATATCTGGTCTGATTACTCATTTTATTCACCTGCCTATCTTCATCCAGTTCTCATTACTGCTTATCCACCTGCTTCAGCTTCTATTTAACCAGCCTTCCGACAAGCCATCAGTGCCAGATTATTCTCGAGCCTGTGGTGAGAGTTCTCTAGCGTTCTTGTGTGTTCTGATTGCCTGATCCTGAGCCTTTCTTCAGCCTGTCTATCCTCATTCTGATCTGTTTGCCTGACCTTTACTCTGACTCCGGCTGAATTCTGCCTGTGTACCGAAACTGGAACTGATTCCTGACACATACATCTATGGATCTCTGATCTCATGGCCCTAACACCTGAGCACGTCCTCGACACTGGTTTTCACTTCGCCTTCTGGATTATCCTGTCTTCCTTCGTCTGCTCAGCTCGGATCTCCTGCCTGTCCTCCGACCTCCGAGAGACCAGCATCTGGGTCTCTCTAGATTGAACCCGCCACGTCTCGTC